TGGGTTGATGTTTTGTGTGTTTCCAAAAAATGAATCAGTATTCTCAGGACAATATTATTTTTAATTTGAGAAATACAACTATCACTAAACAACCCTTAAAATCAGCTTTTTCAAATAATTAAAAGACTAATATTTCCACACTGCCTGCTTCTCTGTCCAGTAGAACATGTGGTTTTGAGTTTCTAGATCAGTAATACAAAAGGTATAAAACCAAAGTTGTTTCGCGTAATAACCTTCTTGAATTGGACTTTTCGGTTGTGGCTGAAGATCAAAGCAAAGGCAAACTGAATGAGAAACATCTATTTCCATGTACTCATAAAACGCCTTTGCTCTTCTTGAATGAATACACTTTTCAACCAATAGCTGACAGTGCTGGTGCACTTTTAATTTGTTCTTTGGAAAGGCAGCACATATTGTAAGTATTAGAGGCAGGTGAATTGGATTAAAACATGTTAATATTTTACTTACTACTCACATATTTTATATTTTGGATTCGCTATCTTCTATAATGTGATTCAGTTCCTCTTAGCTTTCTTATGTACTCTTAACACTTTCCTTCTTCATATAGTTCTTATTTTTGGTAGAGTCTTTGATACAGAAGTTTTAGCACCAAACAGTTGAAAAAAAAGTATTGTATTGAGTACTTTCACTCAGGTCCAGGTTTTTTTATTTTTGTTTATCAATCTAGGCCTATGCATCTTGTTTAAGTCAGACTGGCAAATCTATTGTCTAGTCTTTTCATGTGTGGTACTTTATAAAACTCTTCTTTCAAAGCGTGGATGTAAATAGGACTTATTTTTACGCATGTGAAAGCTTTATTGTTGTTCTCAAATGGTACAAAAACTAGGGCTTAGGTGCTTTTTCCTCCTGTAACTCTTCTCTTTCTATATTTCACTAACAATTACCTCAAGTTTGTAAGACTCGTTGAGTCAGCTGAGTGGCAGTTACGGAGCTCCTATTGGCTGGTTGGAAATAAGCTGGTTAGCACGGACCAGTATAGTGAAAATAAGTGTTTTACATGTAAAGGTGGTGCTCAACATACTTTTACCATTGGTAATATTTTTGCATGAATCAGATAAAATAAACCACTTTGGCTACAACAGAACAATGCATTGGCACATCTTTTGAATTTTGTGTGATTTAAGGCTGTTTACATATTACCTCCTCTTTACAGTCACTAACTGTTTAGTACTACCGTCGCCATCGGCGGCTTATTTTGAAGAAGTACTAGATATTTTTGTTTTGCAAAATGTAATTTTTAGCAAAATCGTTATTTTTAATTCTCTTTCAATCATACTAACCCCAAAATCAAATATATTTTAAGCAAATAGTAAAAGTGGTTAAAAAATATTAAATTTTAAGGATTGTTCTTTATTGCTATTTAAATTGAATCCAGTATAGTAAAAAGTATAAATAAAATGAAAACAATTTATTATCCTTAAAAATAATTGATAACAGCTCTGTTCGTATATAACGGAGTTTTATAAAAAAAAAGAAGAATAATGCTTAAAGAGGACTAAGGATTGTATAATAAAATTTCTAACAATGTACAATAGTTTTACTGCTTCCATTTTCCTAGAAAACACACATGACTCTAATAAATACATGCCAATCTTCGTTGAAAGTAAGCCCAAATTCTCTCGATGGTAGTAGAATGAAAAAAATTGGACATATATTCATCCAGAGCGCGCACATTAAATTAATAAAAGTCCTATTGAATTTTATTTAAGTTAAAAATATGAGTTACATGGTGTTGACGTAACGAATGGTGGAATAAGATGATGTTGCCGGTAAAGGCAGATTATTTAGAAGGCGAACAATAACAAGAACGCCATCATAAGACAGAAAAGACCCATAGCTTCGGACAAGGCGAACCCTAAGATGGCGTATGAGAAGAGTTGTTGTTTTAGGCTGGGGTTTCTGGCGTAACCGATGATGAGTGAACCGAACACTGTTCCAATACCAGCTCCTGAAACAATAAAAAAACAATTTAGATATTTTACAAATTTTAATTACATGAACAATCAGTTTCATATTAAAATGAAATAAATTAAAAATAAGTCTTAAAAAAAACATTGAAAATAAAATAAACTAAGAACTACATTAATTTATAAATGTAGTTTCGATAATACTTTCACTTATTGACATGTTTTTCGTTTTTTCTAACCATACTCATAAATTCTGGTCTACTCATTGTTCCTAGGACCTCCTTTTCTTATTTTACTACGCATTTCAGATTCAATCACCTACTTTATCACGATTTTTGAGAAACTTGTCCACAAGCTAGTCCAAATAGTTTTGTCAGGAATAAGGTTGATATAAAAGAAATTTTCAATAATAAAATTACTGAAAGAAAAAAGTCGTTTATCAATGGACGCTTAGCAAAAATCCAATGTTTAAAAATCTTTGCAAAAAATGCAAACAAACAATTTTGAAAATCATGGTCTAATTAAAAAGAAGAGTATTCATAATGGGTGTTGCCGCCTCTGGCACTTGAAACATCTTGGAGCCAGTTCGACAATCCATTCATGAAATCCTGGATATCTGATTTGGGGATATTTTGCCACATGTCTTGAGATCTCCGAAGGATTTACCTTACCCACCTTTTGAGATTGTATGTATTCAATTGGGTTAAGATCGGGACTGCGTGCCGGTCATGGTAAAACTTGAATCCCAACCTCATTAAGGCACTTACGGGTGAATCTTGTGGTATGAAAATGTGGATTGTCATACATTAATCCAAAGTTTTCACCAAAGAACAGTGCAAAATGCATCATACTCTTTACGTCTTGGAAAACCTCTTCCATGTATTGAGTATTCACACTGCCTCTATCGAATACAACAAGACCAGTATAAGCTTCATAAGAAATACCTCCCCAAATAATTATTGGTCCTCCTCGGTAAGCAACTGTTTCGGTTATAATGCATGGAGCAAACCTTTCATTTTGACGCCTGTAGACACGCTCACGTCCATCTGGACCTCTTAGCGCTATTCTGCTCTCATCTGAGAATAGTATGTTCTTTCACGCCGCCACAGTCCGGTCAGCATATTCTCGCGCAAAACCAAGTTAGCTCTACAGTGTTATGGGACACAAGCTGGACAGCTGAACAGCTGGACCCTTTTCTTTCTGTCAGTTTTCTTCTAATGGCATGTTACTCACAATCATTCCTCACGTCAAAAAGACGCATAAGAGCTTCTGGAGCAGTGCAAAAGCGATTTCTACCAATAAAGCGGCCATCTCGCATTGCAGTGCATTGATGTCGGCCTTGACCTGACCTATGGGTGTATGAACCCGTCTCCCTAAATCGTCTGAGAGCATCCCATACAGTAATTCGGAGTACATAGAGTGTATGAGCGGTAGGACATTGGATTACCCATCATCAGCTAAAGCTACTGTCTAGCTGCATCACTTGTAAACAAGTGGAATTTTTGTACAAACACTAAACTGTTTTGTGGAAACACTAAAATCTCACATTAAACAATACTCACACACTACGACATAAAATAACAAGAAATGTTAACATGGTAACAAAATTGCAATAAGGTTGTACATCTTCTTTCCAAAAACCCTTCGGTGGTATATATTTAGGAAATAAATTAGGGATAGGGAGAGAATTTATTACCACTTGACATAACACAAAACAGTTGATGAGCCATAATTAATGTAAACAAACAGTTAATTGTGTCAGTGCCCTTAAAAAGCCCTTATAACATAATAAATATTACAGCAGATGACAGAGACGTTATGACTAACCAGCAATTTATATATTATGGCAAAATAAACAAAAATCAAGAAAGACAACTGATCAAAGACATTCTGATACAGAGAGGTGAGGACAGAAAAGGTTTAGACAGGTGAAGCATTTCCTGGCAAATATTAGTTAATAAAAAATATGATTTTCATCACAACCAATAATTGAGCCTTAATCCCATAAAAAACATAATATTTAACTTAACCAAGCCACAAGAAAGTAATTCAGAACCTTGCTAAAGTGAAAATATCACAAATCATGTTACATTTGATATTTTCTGCTAGATAAGAAAATTTCTTGTTACTGCAAAAATATAAGAGATTTTTGACTGTTAAGAAGATTTTAGTAGGTAAAGGTAAAAGAAAATGGACAATACAAAAGAAATAGTTGAGACATTACTCTCGATGTATGTTACAAAGGAAGGTCAAAACAGAAATAAAAGAAATTGAGGTTTACAAAAAATTATTTTGTTGTTATTTATGGGAATATATATTTGTTCACAATCAAAGAAAATGGGATGCTTGACTATAAACTTGACTTGCAAACTAAAAGACTATCTTGGAAATCCCAAAAAATATGTGTTTCAGGAATTCTAGATGAGAATTGGGGAATAAATCGCAGGTATGATCAAATTAAATCAAAAACTACTCACAAAAGAACAGAAAAATATTTTCAACTCATAAAAAGAATGTGAGGAGAAGTAAAAAGCTCCTTGTTTGGGCATGTGGTGACTGGTTTCTTCCTCATAATGTGCCAGAACATTCACTAATCCTTGTGCAACCGTTATTGGCACATTGTTTCATAAAATGGGGATTACTTTGAGACACTAAGGATAAATATTGTTATAAATCAAAGTTGGGTAATTTTAGGGCATACCTCATAGACATCTGCTACATTGTAAGTTAATAACACTTTTAATATCAAAGATCAGATCATTAAGATTTGTTTTACATATGGTGTGTTCATGTTTTTAATTATTTTCTCCATAATTTCACTTAAGTAACTTTCTATTCCATATTTGTGATCCTCAATCATCACTTCTTCCACAATTTTGTTTTGATCTTGACTTTTTTGGTGGTTTTAACCATTCCAATAGTATTATCATGTTGAAAAGCTTATTTATTTTAATTTATGTATGTATTTAGACTTATTCATCAACTCTACTGTCTTTCAACACAAATGTCATTAAACTATAATGTACACTGTAGTGTGTAGAAACTTACCAATATGTAAACAACTCACACAACAACAGTCTATCAATACTTTATTAAACATTGATTTAATAAAAAAAAAAAACTAGTAAATTTATTTCTTAAAACTAGTAAATCTAAAGGGCGAACAACATTAAGAAAGCTATCATTAGGCAAAATAAGCCCATGGCTTCGGAAAGGGCAAATCCAAGGATGGCATAGGAAAATAATTGTTGTTTCAGGGAGGGGTTTCTAGCATATCCGATAATTAAACAACCAAACACAGCTCCAATACCAATACCTAAAATCATTCCACTCTTTTAAAATAATGAATATTATCAAAAAATTACAACACCTCTATGAGCAGTTAAAAAAAATGTAAGAATGTAAGAAATAGAATTATTAAATTAAGAGGTTTTATGCTACAAAAAGTAAATTAGTCTTTTAAGTTGTTTAAGACTGATGCATAATACTAAATTGGTTTTTGTATTTTGCAAAGATATATTTTTGATAAGTTTTTTGATTTTGAACAATTTGTGAATTCAGAATTTCTGTCTGAATTGTTTAATAGCTAATTTTTTTTTAAAGTAGTAGAAGAAAATTGATGTATAGGTTTTAAAACTCATTTTTGAAGGTGTAATGAAATTTTAACATAATCTTAAGGGAGTTTTAAATTTTTTTTTTGAGAAAAATATGCCTTTACTTTGGTTTTATGAATTCTTGTGAAAATACACTAAATAGTAATAAAAAAATATATGTATTTTGTTTCAATAAAAGAACAGGCTTGAACTTTTCTTTGCCAAGATTCTTATAAACTCTCTATTCAGTGGATTTTTATTGTTTTTTTCGCTTCTCTCTCTATCTCTGAAATAATGTGTTTTTGTTTATGAAATTATCTTTATTATCACTGATGAGTGTTTCTGTATTTTATTGTTTTCATCTTGCTATGTATGTTATTATTGGAAACTGGTAGTTTTTAAAACACCTGACATGCATTTATTTCTTATTTTTTCTCTTTGGTTTTAATTTTAATCATTACAGCAATAACTATCCATTGTTCCATTATATTTTTTGATAGTTATTATGCCCATGTCACCAAAATCTTCAATATGTCTCTTTAGTCTCCTAGCGAATGTCTTCTATTTGTGAATTCCTCTTTTACAGGTCCCACTATACCAAAACCTTGCATTTTATTGCTTATCATGAACATATTTATGTTGATATAAAATATTAATGTAAAGATGACAAACAACTGATAAATATGCTTATGATTAAAAATATGGTATTACAACTTAACAATTGGACCCTCTTCTCCATTTTACATACCTGATCCAGCTACTCCAACTGTGGCAGCTCCAGCACCAATGAATTTAGCTGCAGAGTCAATGTCTCTGCTGACTGGTGTAGTTTGGAAACTGCGGATAGCGGGGAGGAGGGTAGGTTGCTTGTGTTGTTGCACATTCTGTACCTGTATTTGACTTTGGTTTACTACACTGCTCAGTGGCCTCAAGTATTGTTTTGTGTTGGCAACGAGCTGCAACAAAAAATTAATTTACTAATTTTGCAATGAAAAGAGTAGGTTGAAATATTGTTGGAAAACATCCTTACAACTATGTTGTACTTTGTAATGAATGAAGAGAATTAGAACAAATGAGCAACATGCTGTGAAAAGATCATTTTCACTAAAAAATGTTTAAAATAGGTCTTGCAGTCTCAAAAAAATTAATATTTCACGTAGATGTAAGCTTATTAATTATAAGGGCGACATCATATCATAAAAGCAATAGAAATAGATTGAACCTGATGATAATGCATATATGAAAACATCTAAGAATAGAAGACATGGAGTCTTACAAAAATTTCAAACAAAGAATATATAATATTGAGTAGGAGAAAAGATATTGGTAGATATGCTGAAAATGATAAGTAGAAAAATCGTGAATGAACGAAAACAGCACAAACTTCATCCATAGTGCACAATGGGATTAGAATTAAATAAACTACAAGCCATCATCTAGCCAAAGGACTAGAACAATCTTAATGTCATTTTTTGAGAATTATTGAAAAAAGGAAAAGAATGTTAACATTACAATATTCATAGTAAAATTGTACAGGAACATCATACAGACACAAGAAATGAAAAGAAATATTACTATTATTCTCTTTAATTATCTTTAAATAATCATAAGGCCTTTCAAGTTATGCTTAATTATTTCCAATAGCTTTGAAAAACATCCATTTTATTAAAAAGTCTGACCATATTCTTTCTCAGCCTTATTTGATTTTTCTTATACATTCAGCTTTACAAAATATTAATTCAAAAATTTATAGGATTAAAGAATAATATTCACAAGCTAATACTTAATATATTTTAACAAATGGAATACACAAAAATTGGTTATTTCAAATTATGTAATCCCATAGACGGTAAGTATAGTACCAGATATAATGAACACTAAAAAAAATTGGAAAACTTCTCTGTTAAGACTTAAAGATTTGGCATTTTTCACTTATATTAAAGTTAGTTATTAAAGTAGTAAAGGTTACTGTTTTTATCTCTGAAGCTGATTATTAAATCACTCTTACATAATCCCGGTTTTTGACTCACATTTTTTTCAATATTAGAACCAAAAACAAGAAATTAGCATAGCATAAAAGAACCAGAATTTAATAGTGTAAAAAATATCACATTGTAAAACTGTCCTTTGACTCAGCACTTAGATCATAAATTATCAAAATAAAACTATGAAAATATGAATGAAAAAATAAAGAGGAATGAGACAATTTGATTCATTAACAACTCAAAGGAGTAAGTACTTCATTGTGTAATAAGTTACTTCAAGATCATACGATTACAGAAAATGTGCAAATGCAAAAACTTTTACAGAAAAACAATACAAAAACTATTCAAAAGCACCAAGGAACATTTCTAGTTGTAAATTAAGCATTTAATATGAGTAGTACTAGAGAAAACTGACTAAAACTTAATCCAATATACAGCCCATGGAGTTACATAATACTTTATGTTAAAAGTGTAAGAGTTATATTAATTAATATAATTTATACTTACTGCGCTTCTGGTGGCAGGGGCAATCAGTCTAGCACAGGCAAACATTTTTGTATTTTTTATTACGTCCGCTATCTACAAGCCTAAAAAGAAGTATACCTATTTAAGAAAATGGCAGCCGAGTACATCTGTCAAAGTCATAGGAGATATGTAAAGTTCAGCATTACGTAACTCATATTAAGGATTAAGCAGAAAGTATACTTAAAAACTAAGTGAAATAAACATTAACAGTACAATAATTAGTTATTAAATGCTTTATAATTGCCTTTAATAACTTATTTGTTATGAAAAAGTAGGTATACTAAGAACTGGAAATGGCCGGGTTGTACAAAGTCGAATTGGATTTACGTAAGAGGTAAATCCAAGAAAATAACGAAATTAGACTAATTTTTATGAAAATTTTAACAGGAAGATAAAAACATTGCGTATATTATTAGAAATACCTACTTTTTCGACACCGATGACACTTAAATTAAGAAAAAACTTTGGAATTAGAAACTTTAACTTACCAAAGAACAGTGTAGTGAATTACGCGAACTTATCGGAACTGCAATAGCCGCCCAATGGAATGAAAGAGAACGACTATTAAACCCTTGGAGTATGCGCACTAGAAAACGGACATGCGCACTTAACATTTATACAGTGTTGCCAATTGATATAACCTTTTTTCTAAAGTATTTTACTCTAAAGGTAGCTTCAGATGTATCATTTAAGATTTAGAATAGTTTAAAATATTATTTATTAAAGATTCTGACATATTTAAATAATATTAGAACAAAAAGTTAACAATAGAATTTATTTGTAAAGTTTTATTGTCAGTTAGACTTTAAAAAGTGCATTAAAAAAATAAATGTACAGGTAAATATTTTGACAGGTTCTATCAGTGCTTTGCTTAGAGAGAGAGGAGGAAAATACAATAATCATAAAAAGTAAAAAAGATACATATATGAAAATTTCAATCGATTAAATCTGACTTAAACAAACACAATGACTTGGAGAAAGAGATAGACTTACACGTACTTAGTAAGTAAATAGAAGATATTATAGGAATAGTAAAAATTACAATCATTTTGGTCTGTTCTCCGTAACCGGGTTTCATTAAATTATTATCCCTTCCTAAGCCGTCTCCGTTTAGCAGAAAGGTGCTTACAGTATGATCGTGTTTGCTCAAAAAGAATATTGAAATAATTATTAAATCTAATTTTTATGTACTGGATTTGCAACAGTAATGAAAAGAACTATTTTATCTTTGTAATATGCCCTTTGAAACACGTTTTTCAAATATAATTTGGCTTTGATCAATTAGGTTTTATTTTTCATCATCCTATACCTATTTCATAAAATGTCATCCGCTTTTTATATACAAGAAATTTTATTTATTGAATTGAAGTTTACTTGATAGAAATTCATGTTTAATAATAATAATAATACAAAAATATAAGTTTGATAATTTCTACAGAATATATTCTGTAGAATACTGTTTTTTTTTATTTCCACTTAATATATTCTTTGGAAATTAAAAGAGAGTGTTGCGTTTTATGTTCCACTACACGACGAATATTGTTATATTTATATTCTCATAATGTAAGTCACGACAAATTTATTTTTTATTATTCAAATTTTTTGCAGCTTTTTACAATGTTTTTTTATTTGTATACCCCTTTTTGCTTGTCTTTTCCTTTAGCTTATTCTTTCCTATGACTTTATTTTTTTTTCTACATACCATGCAAGAAAATAATAGATTGTAGATTGGGTTGCCTACTATTAAACAAGTTTTAGTATTTGAACAAAATAAATGCAGATTATATAAGGAACTGGACATAAAACACAATAATTTCTTTAAGCACTGTCACATAATAATAAACAATTGTTTATTATTCTGTGGCACTGTTTGAAGTGAACAATATATTAGATATTTGACAAATAATATGTCAAATTAGGATATAAGCAATGACGTCACGTCATTGGATATAAGCAACGTCAGTGCTCTGACTTGACAAATATAAACACAAAATGAATTGAAATGAGATTAAAACGTTAAAACAATCTGATATAAAGAGAAGCAAATTGTTATAAAATAGAAAATCATGGATTAAACTGGCGTGAAGACTAAAGAGGCACGTTTAGAAGTAAGAAATATAGAAGAAAGAAAGCTTGATGAATATAAAAATTTAAAAAATAGGCAAATGCCTCTTTTTACATATTTTCATAAATTTGAAGTATTAATTAATCATATCCACACTTCTTTCTCCACAATTTAACAGTTATGTTTCGGTTTTCGAAATTATTTAAACGTTTGTAGCGAATTTAAATATTAAAAAACATAAACAATGTAGTAAGCAACATGTAGTTTTCAAAAAATCAGAAACTTCGACTGTAAAATTTTTATATTACAATAAATATTTAATAATTACTATCAAATTGGTGAACGTGACGTTGGTACATGATCCACTTGCAGATATGGGAATTTAAAACGGTTGTGGAGATCACCCTATACATTTCTAATAACCTTGGGCAGGGGACCGATTGACAACAGCGTTAAGGAGAGAAAGAGATGGAAACCAATGGACAGAAATGGCGGCGCTCTGTCCAGGTGTTCAGTATGGTTTATCTTCACAACAAAATTATGGTGAAAATAGGGACTTGATTTTTGTGAAATTGACGGATTCTGCTTTACGTGCGATAGAGGACTACCTAAAAAATCAGGTAAGTTTTAAAAATTATCTTCCGTTGTTTCGACAAGTAATACAATCTGTTGACTTCACTTTTGATCAGTCGCCATATTCAGTGACTTATTAACCTATTATTTTGTTTCCAAAATAGTGATTGTATTGTCTGATTATTCTGCTTACTCAGATGAATCAGGAAAAATTGTCTGTGCTGATTTTGTAAAATAAATATTTTTTGCTCCTCCGATAATGCCCCAGCCACGTCAACATATTGAAAAATATTTTCAAAAAAATTATCTAATACAATTTTGCACATTAAAAAGCCCTTAAATTCGAAATTTCCCAGAATAAATATTTTCCTTATGTAAATTATAGTTAGATAAATTTTTTCCTTCAAATGTCACAAATTTATTTGTTATATTTTCATCATATCACCAATAAATTGCCTTTTTTGTCTACTATTAGATATATGCTTTATTGCTATCTTGAAATTTCTCAATTTTGCACCAATTAGATCCCAAGACTTGTTTAAAATCTTCAGACATACTGTTACTCAACATTTCTTTTATGTTTTTTCAGTTACAGTATTTTTTTATAGTGACCACCAAACACTTTTTCACACACCTGGCCCACTTCGTTTTGCTAAATTTGCTACATGCCATATCAAAATCTTTTATTCCAGTTCTTTCTTTAATTTATGATTGTATATACAGTAATTTTCAACATGGATGTTTCTATTCTCTTCTGTAGTTCCCTAAATTTAATCATTAATACTTTACAGTAATTATTTTGTATCTGTGTGTCCATAAAGTTACTAGATTTGGTCAGTCAATATCCTACTATTTTGTTACCAAAATAGTGATATCCATGTCTGATAATTCAGAAAAAAACAAGAAATGATTTTTTTTACCCAAGTTAAAAATTTTTAGCATCCCAAACAGTTATCTACAACATTTTTATAATAAAAAGTCCATACCTAAGATATCTTATATCTATACTAAAATAAATATTTTTCTTATGTAAATCATATGAGATAAAGTTTCCTTAAAGTGTCACATTTTATTTGTTGTATTATTTATTATCAATTTAATGAGTCATCTGACAAACTCTTTTGTAAAAAATTGTTCACCTTTGACTGTCAATTGGTGAAAAATTGAGGGCATATGCAGTGCCATAATAAATGCTCAAAGACAGTGACATATTTTGTTAAATGTGTCCAGTAAAAAATATTTGGGACTTGTTACAATTTTGAAGATTCCACTGCAGCACAGCACAGTTAACACAGGAATGGAACACACTGAAAGTTATTGATCTATATCAAATTGAAATGAAATCATGAAATCATCATGAAATAACTATAAATTAAAAGAAGATTGTCGTAATTGAACAAAAATAAGATGTAGAATAGGAAAAAACAAAAATAGTGTTAAAGTCCTATTTCTATTAAAACTGTATCAACTTACTTAACAACTTGTAATGAGGTGGCTGATGTGCTATGTCTATACAATCTTCCTTTATGGGAGTTAAATTAGACTCTAACTGAACCATAATACACATAATTACTCCTGTAAGTGCATAAAAAACTACCAAAATTATAATAAAATCACAGTAATTTGAATATGAAGTATTGAAATGTCTGCATTTAGTTCTTCAAGACAAATTTTTAGATATAAGCCATTATAATTGGTCATACTAAAGCCAACTGGCCTATTGCATATCTTCCATTGATTGGCACAATGTTCTCGCTCAGGTTTTAGTATTAACAACTACTTAAATAGACAGGACCAGTCACTTTATGTGCCCTCAGAAGCATGGGGGTGGCTCAGTTAAATTAGAAATTGAAAAGTTCCTTGTGTCACTGTTAGTATCAAATCCAGACTCTCTGGCTTGGTAGATAAGCCAGACAGTCTAGCGTGATAAGCCAGTACTTAGCTACCATCTGGCTTAGTAAGCAAGTACCTAGCCACTGGAGATAGCAGTACCAAAATGGATACAAATAAGTAATTTCTATAAATGACAAATAAGTAAAATATATCTATTGTGTAAAATATTAAAATGGATCATTAGAAATCCTATGAGTATATCACCACACAGAATAATACAAGAAATAGAGGAATTTTGTACATATATAAAAGAAAGAAGAGGAAGACCATTGAGAAAGTGACTGAGCTAGATCGAGAAATAGAAAGAAAAAATTTACAAAGAGACCACATCAAAATAAAAATATTAGAATACTTTAAAAATAGTTCAGAAATAAAGGACAGGTAAAAGGAATCACAAGTAAATTCAGGAATTTGATAAATTATTTTTATTACTATTTGATAAATAAGAAATTGGAAAGTTATAGAGAATCAATACTAAAATTGGTGGGTGAATAAAGAACTATAGGCAAAAAGAGGTCCCATTGCTATGATCTTTTAGGAATAAAAAGAAGCAGAGCTATTAGATACCAGGATGTTTTAACAGAAAGGTTGCAGTTAAAAAACTGGAGTATTCCAATGATCTCTTACAAAAAGATTTACTGTTTTAAAAATTTCAATTATTTGTCATGTTAAAGTTACTATTGTGGAAAAATTATAATCATATTGCTGTCAGTGATTGATAAAAACAATTATATAAAGAAACAATTCAACTACTTCAAAAAAATTATATAAAAAATAGTTTTAAATTGTGGGCTATGAAAATAACTTTACTGGCTTACTCAATATTCAGTCAGTTTCATTTTGTATAGTGTATATATGTACTACATATGTACTAAAATTTCTATAGGTAGTCTCGCTAGTGTCAGGAATTCCCAAAATTTGAACTACTTTATTTAGTTTTGTTCCAAAATAGGTTCCTTTCCACCAAATTGTGGGCTCCAACATATTTATGAACCTCAGATGTATGGTTTTGTAAAAATTCTCCTTTAAATCTGTAATATACCAGTTCTGCCATTAAACTTGTTGAGTTTTATAGGTATTTTGAGTTAGCCATATTATCAATAAACTCAGTAATTTGAATTTGCTCCTTATTGGTTAAATAAACATCATTAAAACACATATCTAATATATTAGCTGCCAAATATATATCAGTATGCTTTCTTTTTCTTAAAAATCTTGGAAATTTCACTTTTCTTGCTTTGCAAGGAGAACCGAAGGTAACACTGTTGAGCAATGTTTTTCTATGCTATAGAAATATTCTATTGGCTTTTATGACTCTAGTTTGGTTATATATTCAACAATAGGGTTAATTAAATTGAACAGCCTTAGTACCCAGAATTCATCTTCATCTTAAAATAATAACTCACTTGCTCAATATATTATCCACAGTCCCACAAACTGGTAAAGCCTTTAGGGCATATTTTGTGTTGAGGAAGATTTTTCAAGCTGTGAATAATTGATCGCAAACAAGTTTTGATGGTTAACTTTAGTGCTGTTGCTACCATTGTCCTCTTTTTTTCATCTGGATTTTATTGAAAGTGGCCAGTAAAGATGTGAATTATTAATTTCACACATGTAAACCATACTGCTAAAAACATTTAAAAAAATTATTGACGAGAATTTTCTTGTCCAGAATAACTATCACTAGTAACACCTCTTATGTGGGATAATCGACATACTAGGTATGGTTTTTCGGATACTTAGTATCTGCTAAAGTATGTGGCAATGAATTTATCACATTCTACTTGCTACAGAAAAATTGCAGGGGCTCTATAATTGTCCCTAATTTTCAATACCTTTAAACATTACCTGAACCATAAGAGTTTGTCAAATATTGATTAATCAGAGTTAAAATTTGATTTCATGAAAATAATTCATGAAATTTAGAATTGCAGTATTTTTTTGCCACAATGAAAATACTGCGACGACTTGAAATTGTTGTAGATTAAAATTTAAAATAGTACAAACGACTTCTAAAACTGTGAAAAATCATTGCATTTTTGTCACGATTACAACAACGTGATTGCTTCAACAACTGCTACGAAAAACCGTCTAAACAAAGCTAAAATTACATTTTCAAAAGTGTTTCAAGAATTTAATATGTGTACTGAATTTACCTATGAAAAAATCGCCGTTATTTTGTCACATTAACAACAGATTCATCGTTGTAACAGTTACACAAAAATCACAATTTAACCCACCTCTAGACTTCTCCCTATTTTCGAAATGCTGTATAACTTAACGACTAATGAGGTTGCCAAATCTGGTCTAAGCACGGCTAAAATTAGATTTCATAAAGTGATTCAAGAATTCAATGTGGGTGCAAAGAATTTACATACAAAAAACCTGGAAGTAGACTTGCAATAAATCGATAATATTGACAAAAAGATCATCGCGGAATTTATGCAAAAAAATGCGAAATCTATTAACGTTCGTGTTCGTTACGTGAGTGAATTTAAAATAGACAAATGCGAAAAATTAATTATTTATCCAATTTTTACTCTTATCGCCACGACCCGCATATTAGAAAGGGGATTCGCATGGACTCGGCAACGTGGTGAAATCAGCTGATTGTCAAAAGCGGAATTCTTTAGATCGTTGTTGCCAGTTAGTCTCAAAATCCGGAATGTTGCTGCTTTTTTACTTTTATTTTATTCGGAAATTGTTTATACGGAATTAACCACCAAACACGTATTTAATTTAATTGTAAACATAAATAGATAATATTAACTTGGAAAACACTTAATTTTATCATTCGAATTTCATGTCAGACCATCTATTATTAACACTTCTACAACAACAAAAACAATGTAATACAACATTTAGCTCAGTTACTTTTATCTATTGGGGCCTTTTAACTGTATATGCATATAAAATTATTCTAAAAAAATTTAGGTGAACATAATTCAAACCCTCTAGTACATTCCAATCTTATATTTAGTATTTTTGTATTTGAAATGCATTTTAATTTCATTTTGTCTTTTCTTTATGTGTTAAGGGCACAGGCGTAAAATGTCGCGTGTCAAAATGTTCAATGAGTTTTAAATGTATTCATTTTTTTCGAATCCTGAGAAAACTGATAAGTATATTTGAAAAATTTTAATGCAGAATAAAA